CTCAGGACAGAGGGTGAACCCCTACACCCGCACTTCTGCCTCTGTGCTTCCATTTTTCCGCTCAGCTCCCGTCCTGCCTCTCCGCGGGTCCTGCTCCAGCGGGGTCTCGACCTGCCCGCAGCCTGTTGCCTGTATCTATCCGCCCTCCTGCCCCTGCCCTACTTCTCCTGCCCCGATAGTCTGGCTGCTTTGTCTCTTTATGCACCTCCTATGCTTTCTTCCCAAGCCGTCTGCAAGGAGACCATCAAGCTTCGGGAACCCGCCATGCAAATGTATGATAATGAGGCCGCCTTGGCGGTGACGGGGAGAGCGCATGCGCGGCCTGGGGGGGGGCGGGCGGTCTGGCTTGTGGCGCCCACCTGGCTGGTGGCCCTCTGCATCCTGCTCCTGTCGTGGCAATAAAAGTTAACTATTCTGATTCCTTTTCCGTGGGCCAAATGGGACTTTTGCACCGAGTCCGATTTTTTTTCTGAAGTGATGTCTCCCGCAGACGTGGGGTCGAACTGACGCCCCCAAGATCAAGAGCCCTGTGCCCCCAGCCAGCAGTCCATAAACCCCCTAGTGTCCTCAGCTGGTCCCCTGCAGCAGAGCTGGCAGGGCCTGTGCCCTCCCTCTGCGCGGCCTGGTTGGCGAGAACAGAACTTAAAGGAGGGCGACCCCAAAGGCCATATAACACGTCAAACACGCGCGGGGAAGGCGGGAGAACTCTTCCCAGCTTGAACAGTGTGGGGCAGGAAGAGCCTGTTTCCTCTACCCTTCTGAGGGTCGTTGGCTGGGACCCCAGAATGAGCCCAACAAAGTAAACACCCTAAGGATCCGTACCCGTGGGGCACATCCCTTGAAGGAGAGCTGGGTGATGACGAACTGGGGATTGGTCAATCCCCAGTCCCAAGGGATTGTTAGGACCGGGGCGTGGGTCGGTACGACGCCTTTGCAGAGAAGTGACAGGAGAAAAGGAAGGACGGCGAGCTGGGGCCAAGCGGACATCTGATCTGGGGACACCATATAAAGCCCAGTAGTGTAGGTCCGCCTGGGGGGCCCACCTCCTGTGTTTTTCAGGCCCTGGAACTGCTCATTCCTCATGAGTGTCTGCCTCTAGGCCAAGGAGGGAGCTATGGGCAGGCCTTTTACTGCCGCTTCTGCAGCTCAAAACCCTCTTCATGCCAAAGTAGCCCCCACTGGGGGCCTGTTCTCTTCTCACCCTTCAGAATCCTTTCTTTATGTCTTCTTGGTCTACTGTTGGGTCAAAATCAAACTCCTTTGTCACAGTCTTACGGACAATACTCAGTTTTTCATCATTGCCAGTGTAATCCCGAAACATTTTCTATGAATCCATTTAGAATAGGATCTTGAGAGAAAGGAAAGTGGGTCAGAACGCAGCCAGCTGAGTCAGGAGTACCGCCCATTTGTGGGGAGGCATTCTCTTAGTTAGTGCTTTGGGATTAGTGTGGTGGGAATTCAAGACAGCCAGAGCCCTGGACAGTCCTGCTGTCTTGTGGGTGTTCATGGAATGTAATTCTGAGCAGTAATCCTTATCACCACCCACTCTGATTCTGCCTCAGATCTAGAAGGGACTCTTCCATTTTCTGGGTGGTTTAGAGGGAGAGCCTATTCAGCTTCTCTGCCCTGTCCACCCAACGTGTGTCCTGAAATAGCAATCAGGAAATCTCTCACCTGGAGGGTGCAGAGGGTGGGGGGAGAAATGCCGGGGGATCCCTTTAAGTCTGTCTTGGGTAGTGAGGAAGCCATACAATGCAATTTGGATTCTGCTGGTCCTAAAGAGTGATGGGCTACTGTGGGGTCTTTAACCCGCAGGGGCTAACACGATCCTTGGGTAGAATTCACTGAAATTGTACAAAGCACCTGGTATCACAGAGAATTGCTTGACGGTGGGGAAAGTCCACATTAGCATTTGGCACAGATCTAGAGACTATGAAACAATATTTGCTAGTCCTTATTCCCAGAAATCTCTCACACACACGTTTTCTTTCTCCTTGAAAAAATTTACTAGTTTTGGGTGCCTGGGTGGCTCAGTGGGTTAAGCCTCTGCCTTCGGCTCAGTTCATGATCTCAGGGTCCAGGGATCGAGTCCCAAATCAGGCTCTCTGCTCAGCAGGGAGCCTGCTTCCTCCCTCTTCTCTCTGCCTGTCTCTCTGCCTGCTTGTGATCTTTCTCTGTCAAATAAATAAAATCATTAAAAAAATTTTACTAGTTTCAGGGGTAGAATTTAGTCATGCATCAGTTGCATTTAACACCCAGTACTCATTCCATCACATGCCTGCCTTCATGCCTATCCCCTAGCTACCCCATCCCTCCAAGCCACTCTTCTTCAACAACCCTCAGGTTGTTTCCTACAGTTAAGAGTCTCTTTTGGTGTGTCTTCCTCTCTGCTTTCATCTTACTTTTTCTATCCCTTCCCCTATGTTCATCTGTTTTGTTTCTTAAATTCCACATATGAGTGAAATCGTATGATTATTATCTTTCTCTGACTGACTTATTTGGCTTAGCATAATACCCTCTGGTTCCATCCATGTCGTTGTAAATGGCAAGACTTCATCCTTTCTGATTGCTGAGTAATATTCCATTGTATATATGGGCCACATCTCTATCCATTCATCTGTTGATGGACATCTGGACTCTTCCCATAGTTTGGCTACTGTGGACATTGCTGCTATAAACTTTGGGGTTCAACTCATGCACACATTTTCAAATGGATGGCTACAACTTGCTCATTCTCTATGAGTGGAAATTTGGAGGTCCCTCCCAAAATAGTGATGTGACAAAATTTCTCCAAACCAAACCAAGACAAATCAGGAAAAGCTTTATTTCCATTTTGATTTATTTTAATAGAAAATATTTTTAAAAAAGGATTTCCAAAGGTTTTGAGAAATCTGAAGGTCCTTACATTGCCTAATGGTCTCCCAGAAACAATACTTGCAAAATCCAGGTTTTGGGAGTCTGCTAAATTAACAGTTAAGAAAAGTCTTCTTTTATGTTTCTATTTCTTAGTAACTAGTAAGAGTGTTTTTTTCCTCCTCACATCTGTGTTCTGAACAGAAGATTCTAAACAGCTGTGTTTTGACTTCAAAAAGGAAAGAAAACTCTGTTGTAATAGAAACGTAATAGAAGAAAAGAATCTACACATTGATGTAATAGTAGGCAACAAATGAGAATTAGGCAAAATGAGACATTTCCAACATCCAACCTCATCAGCTGGGGGTGCCCTATGGAGACAGACAGGCTGGCGTCTCCACTGAGAGGCCTGCGCCCAGAGTTCTCCTCTCAGGTGAGACTTCCAGCTGACCATCCCCATAAGGGCCCTATTTATAGGGCAAATGACTGGGTCTGAAGTCAAACATCTGTTCGCCTAGGAGGAGTGAGCTGCATTTCCATGTGTTCACATTTCTGATGGGGTTTTAGAACATAAGTGAGGTTCGGTGGGGTGAGATCTGGAGCCGATGACCCAAGAAAGAATTCTTGAGATGTCTTTGGGGCAAAATGGTGGTTTACAAAAGCATGGGACAGGACCCATGGGCAGAAAGAGCTGCTGCCCAGGGGTCTTGAGGAGTGGCTGACTATATGCTTCGGAGTTGGGGGAGGTAAGGAAAAGGGAGGCTTCATGAGGATTTTTGTACATTAAAGAAGACTCACAGGATACCAGAGGCCTTGCCATTGTCAGGTTAAGGTCGTTTTCCCCTCTAGCAAGGCGTGAACAGTAAGACCGTTGGGAGCTTCTGGAGGGACACTACACTTTGTCCATCCGCTTCAAGTATCTGTCCATGGGCTGCACTATAAAGACATTTAATTGTGTCTACATTCTCTTCTGGAAGCTAGGTTATTGATGGAAATACTTTGTTCTTGTAGATTGCTAAGACATTTGTAAGCTGAGGGAGACTTAGGTCTTGTAGGATTGTGAGCTCTGTAACTATTTGTTTTTCCTTTAGGGCAGCCAGAATGATGTATGTAAATAACCAGGCTCCTAAGGTTATTCACACAGTCTCACAAGCAACATTCCTTAGCTGTGTGTGCACGTCCCTGTGGCTGGCTCACCTCCCACCACCTGTGGTGGGACACATCCCAGAAACATCTAGCTACACAGAACAATCTACCCAGCAATTGCTTTTATCTGTGAACTGACAGATCCTAGGGGGATGGTGGGAGGGGTGTGTGTGTGCTGTTTCTCCATTATATTTTTCTGTACCAAATTTCAATCTTATGAAAAGCCCTCTTAGCTTTTCTCTCCCCTACCTTCTTAATTTACCAAGCAGATTGGGTATACTGGGCTTGAAACCCTCTTCTGACCATTACTGCACAGAACCAACCTTAGTTTACTAATTACACTTCTCATTGGCTGCCTTCTTAGTTCTGTGTCAAAATTTTAAGAACATATTAAACTGGAAGCAATGAAACTCAGAAGATTTTGCATTCATATGGAGTAGCGAGTGAATTTTTTTAAAATTTAAAAATTATGTAGTGCTAAATCACAGTGACTTTTTAATTTTAACTGTGTGCTCGGTTGTTTTAGAAATAACAGCGAAACAGAGCTCCATTTTTTTTTTTTTTTTTTTTCTTACTCTCTAAAGAAATGCTAATCAAAGTCCCGGGGCCCGTAGCTCCAGGTCTCAAGGGACCTCTACAGTCCCCGCCTCTAGACTCTTCCACTAGAACCTGCGCAGGGCGCTGGACGGGAGGCCTATTTCCCCGGGGACATGGCGGTGGGCCGAGCGGGAGGGTTCCCGCGAGGAGGCGTGTGCACGGCGCGTGTACGGGGAAAGGGCCCACGCGTGGTAGCGCGTGCACGGAGAAAAGACCCACGCGTGGCGGTGCGTGCCCAGCGGTTGCACGGGAGGAGGCCCCCTCCCAGTTTCCAGCTCCGCCCCAACCCCGAGTGGGCGGGGGGGGGGGCTCCTCAGCTCAGGTCCTAGCAGCTTACAAAAGACTCTTTCAACGGAAACTTCATACACTAGTAAACCAGTTTCCCTCTCGTCCGCGAGTCACGGATGGGGCAAGTGGACATCCTGGTAAGGTTTCAGGACGCGAAGCTGTGGGCAGGCCGCGGACGGGGTGTGGAGTGCTCCGCCGCCTGGACCATACGAGAAGCGCTTACCTGCCAGGACCCGGGATGCGCGGCGCGCACCCCTGCCAGGACCTGGGGCCGGGAGCGCAGCGGCCGGGAACCCCGAGCGCCGAGCACACCGCTGCCAGGACCCGGCGCGCGGCGCCCTGCCGTCCCCGCCCCGCGCGGCCCCGTCGCCATCCTGGTCTTGGCCCTCGGCTTTCCGGTTACGGTCTCCATCCTCTTCCCTGCAGTCTGCCGCGTCCCCGGCCTCGCCCGCCCTCCGGCCGCGCCCTCCCCGAGGGCCCCCGCCGCCGCAGCCCTGGCGCTCCCCGCGGGCCCCGCCGAGGCCTCCTGCGCCCTGTGCCAGCGCGCGCCCCGAGAGCCGGTGCGCGCCGACTGTGGCCACCGCTTCTGCCGGGCGTGCGTGGTGCGCTTCTGGGCCGAGGACGACGGGCCCTTCCCGTGCCCCGAGTGCGCGGACGACTGCTGGCAGCGCGCCGTGGAGCCAGGCCGCCCGCCGCTCAGCCGCCGGCTGCTGGCGCTCGAGGAGGCGGCCGCTGCGCCCGCGCGTGACGGCCCGGCGTCCGAGGCGGCACTGCAGCTGCTGTGCCGCGCCGACGGGGGTCCGCTGTGCGCCGCCTGCCGCATGGCCGCGGGCCCCGAGCCGCCGGAGTGGGAGCCGCGCTGGAGGAAGGCGCTGCGCGGCAAGGTGCGCGCGGCCGGCGACCTGTGCGCGGCGCGTCCGCGTCCCCATCCCCATCGCGGGTCCCCGTCCCGGACGCGGCCCTGTGCCCCTTCCCCACCCTCCGCTGGTGTCCCGTCCCCCACCTCCAACTCGGGTCTCCGATCCCCGGGCGTTGTCCTGTCCCTTCCACCCCCGCCCCTGGATGGTGCCCTTTCCCTCCTCTCCCCCGCCCCGGACGCGGCTCTGTTCCCCTTCCCGGCCCCAGGATGGTGCCCTCTCCATCCCCTCCCCGCTCCCAGACGCTGTCCTGCCCTATTCCCCCCCCCACCCCCCGCCAAGCTGGGGTCCTGTCTCCCTTCCCCAACCCGCGTCCCCGCCCCCAGACGGTGCTCTGTACACCTTCCCCCGCTCTCAGGGGGTGTCCCATCCCCGGACGGTGCCCTGTCACCCCCTCCCTCCAGACGGTGATGGTTTCCCCCTCCCCTACTCTGAGCTGGTGTCCTGTCAACCACCCACAGTCATCCTCCTGTACCTTCTTCGGACTGTTGTACCCCTCCCCCCATCTGAAGAAAGCGTCTCTCTGCCGGCCCTGCCCCCATACCTCGCCCCCCAGCACCTCGTTGCCCTGCCTCCGGGTGTGACGTCACTCTGCCGCAGGGTTCCCACCCCCCTACTCCCCGCCTGTGCCCCTTGAGATTCTGTCTGGTGGACCAGGCAGTGAGCTTGGCTGTCAGCTGCTGGGGTCCAGGGCGCACACCTCCCCTCACCCAGACCGCGTTCTCCCTTGCTCTCAGCGACCCCCCCCCCCCCGCCCCCCAGTCTGGAAACTTTTGCTGCGCTGTTGACCCTGGGGAGAAACCGGCTGTTGGAGAGGGGGGGTTGTAGCTGGGGCCCTGGACACCCCATGGAGGTATTTTAGAGTAAAGACAGTCGGAATGTCCTTCCGCAGAGAGACAGTGTGTGTGGTCCCGCCCACCCCAGGGAGGACAGGTGGTGGGTCCTGGGGTCCCTGTGAGCACTGGGGGTGGCCCTGGCGGGTGGCGGGCAGGGGCTGCACTGGGGCTGGAGCCGGTGGACAGGTGGGCTGGAGCTGGGCTCTGCTGCTGGGAGACCTTAGGCCTGGGGTCCGTGCCCCCTTGAGAGGCCACTCAGCATTGCTCCCTTGGTGACTGTAACACTGGGGACCCCAGAACGTGGTCCTTGTCCAGTTGCCTGGTTGCAGTCTTAGCAGGTGCTTCCCCACCCGAGTTTCTTCTGGAGAGAGTTTCGCGGGGCTGCTGAGTCCCCTTGTGCAGACCTTGACCGGTCTGCCCCTGGATACTGCTCGTGGGACCTCCGGGGCCTCTGACCGCACCCCCAGTAACCAGCGTGTCTTTCCAGGAGAACAAGGGGTCTGTGGAGATCATGAGAAAGGACCTGAAGGACGCACGGGACCTGCATGGCCAGGCGGAGTCTGCCGCCGCCGTGTGGAAGGCAAGTGGCAGCAGGCCTGCCTGCGGTCTGCCCAAGGAGGGGCCTCTGACCCCGCCAGGCGGGGATGCAGCTTCTCCCTGAGGGGGGCAGCGGTGGGGGTGGGAGGCCCCAGGTGTCTGGCGGGGACACGGGTGAGCTCCCTCCCTGGCCTGCAGGGACACGTGATGGACCGCAGGAAGAAGGCCCTGACCGACTACAGGAAGCTGCGGGCCTTCTTTGCTGAGGAGGAAGAGCGCTTTCTGCAGGAGGCGGAGAAAGAGGAGGGGTCCCTGGAGGATGAGGACGCTGACCCTGCAGACCGCTTCGGGTCGCTGCTACAGGTGGTGTCCGAGCTGGAGAGGAGGCACCGCAGCCTGGGTCTCAGCATGCTGCTGCAGGTGGGCAGCCCGGGAGGGGGATGGCCTCACCCCAGCTGCCTGGCTCCTGCTAGGGGCTGAACTATAGGGATGGTGGACCTGGGAGACCCTGGCCTCCACACACCCTCTCACCTGACAGCAGGTCTGGCAGCACCTGTCCCTCCCTCCTCTGGTCCCCCAGGTGCCATTCTGGTTCTGCAGAGGCCAAGGGGGTGGAATGGCCATGATAAGGCTCTGGCTGTGGGGAGATATATGGGGCTGGGGGGCCTGGCAGGGGCTGGGTCCCCCCTCATGGCCTGGGTCCTGGCACAGCAGCTGCCTCTCTCTCCCACCTCCACCCTTCCCCCTGCAGTGATGTCCTGCTCCCCGCGCCGGCTCCAGGCCCTAGAAGATGTGTCCACCCTGGCCTGGCCCCCAGCTGCTCCTCCGTTGCCGCCTTCTAGACACGCAGCGCGCTCCACCCATGAGGGTTTGCACCTAGGTGCCCACGCGGGACACAGACCACCGGTGCCCGCCTCGGGTTGTTCAAGACTGTGTCCCTCAGCAGTGTCCCTGTCCCCTTCTCTGGGTGTCCGTGTCCCCCAGGTTGTAAACGTTTTACCATAGAGAACTGTAGCAGGGGTGTGCTCAGCCCCAGTGTGTCACGATTCTGCATAAAGCTCTTACTGCTGCCACTGAGTCTGATTGGCCTGGTGTCTCCGAGGCCCATGGTTGTCCCTGGGCAGCCTGGATCTTGCAGACCTGGTACTCACACCCTGAAATGCACCCACGATGGGGCTGCTCCAGGGGTCCTGCAGACCTCCGTGTGTGCATCGGGCATGCCCACTAAGGGTACATTTGCGGTGTACATGGAGACAAAGGGATGCTCACAGCATCTGGGTGGGGGGAGGCGGGCAGGTAGGTCAGACCAGTTGTGGGCAGTAGCCCCCCGCCCCCCACAGCCTGCACATCCAGTACCAGCTCTGTCTTCAGGGTCTTTGTGGGGCCTGTGTTCAGGGATCCATGCCCTTGAAGCTCTGTCCCCCCCGTCTGTCTCCCGGTGTCTTTGCTCAGCTGTGCTGCTTTCTCTCTGTGCCATCTGCCCCTCCGGTGCTGTGGTTTTTCCCAGGGACCTGCCTTAGCGTCGGCCTCCGTCCACCCCTTCTACACCCTGGCACATGGCCTGCCCTCCTGGAGCCCCTTCACCCCTCCCCCAAGACGGCGTGCTTCAGCCGCTTTACCTGGCGTCCCTCCTGTCAGCTCCGCTGCCCGGCCAGTCTCCAGAGAGGCCCTGTGTCCACCCTGCAGAATAAAGGGGGCTACTGTAGATGGGACTTGTCCTGATGGGACCCGTGCCTCCACTGAGTGACATCAGGGACACTTGTCATCTTGGGCAGTGCTAGGGGTGTCCCTGTCGTAGAGGAGTATGGGGACTGGGAGGGGCAGGCACTGGAGGGAGCCACCTGTGTCCAGCAGGCCAGGAACATCCCAGTGCGGCCTGCTGTTGATTCCAGCCAGAACTGCTGCCCCCTTGTTAGCTCCTTCATGTGCCTGGGTGAACGTTCCCCGCTGGCTGCCCTGGACTCCTCCGGCGTGACCCCCGGTCCCTATGGAATAGTGTTGCTCCTCTGGATGTCTACCAGCCCGAGCAAAACGACGAGTTACAGACACAGTGGATTGTCTTCATGAGCTCCTGCCTGCGGACGCAGCTTCGCAGGGGCCTGGTGAGCGCTCTGCAGTCCCTGCTCCTCTCTGGTCCCAGGATGCTGGTCCCAGGATGCAGGGGCACAAGGGGAGGGAAGCTGGGCTGGGCTCTGCGTGGACTGGGAGCAGCAGAGGTTTGCTGCACCAATTGGGGGGGGGGCGCCTCCCATTCCTTCATTCCGAGCCCCGGGGGCATTTCCCTCCACTTCCCGTTACCCATCCAGGTGCAATGGGGATGTCTAGGGTGTTTGCTCAGGGTCCTGAGTCCAGGGGAGCAGGGAGACGCACTGCTGTGTGGAGGACATGCGGTGGAGTGCAGCAGCATAGGGAGGGATCCCCGCATCTTGTGGTGCTCCAGGACACTCCCGGGGAAGGGCAGTGAGGTGAGGTCCCAGCACCCGGCCTGGAAGTGAGAACCCCAGAGGACGTGAGTCAGAATGTGGTGAGGGGTGGTGGGCTGGAGCCGCCGTTTGGGAGCTGGGCCCAAGTGTCAGGATACAGGAGTGTCAGGCCAGCTGGGAGGTCAGGGGGACTCTGAGCCTAAGACCCGGCCCCTGTGGCTCAGGAATGTGCCAGAGCGCTCCCAGAGCTCACCGAAGGCCATTGTGCTCACCCGGACGGCGTATCAGGGAGAGGAGATGGGTTACCCTGAACCAAAGGAAGAGCCAGGGCAGAGTCCAGGACAGGTGCCAAAAACGGACATGCCTGGGCATCAGGACAGTGTGTGACCACCCCTGTAGACCGCGGCCTACTGGGAGATTCCTGATTGGGGCCGTGGAGAGGGCATGCTGACACCACACTGACCCCAGGAAATCAAGCTGAGGACCAAAGAAAGCCCCCACCCCACGTGACTTGGGCAGACCACCTGGGGTGGCCCCTGGCTCTGGCAGGGCACCCCAGGGGTCCAGTTCAGAGGTCCCCTCTGAGCAGCGACTACACAGTGGGCCACGTGCTATGTGACACTGCACCTCAGCCCTGGGGCAGGCATGGTTCTGAATGACCGAATCCTGTGTGCGAGGTTGAGAGGCTGGATGGGACCCTGTCCGGGTGACTGAGGCAGCTGAAAGGCAGGGATGGGTGCCAGCATGGGGACTGAGCAGTGGAGCTCGTTCTGCCGAGACACTCATGCAGGGTGCCCCGACCCAATGTGGGTGCCTAAGACCAGCGGAGATGTCCAGGGAGAGGCCAGTCTGCCCATGGTGTCCCTACTGCGGCCCCGGCACTGCTGCTGGCTTCTCAACCACCAGCTGCCACATATCGTGAGATTTAGGGCAGGATGACCGAGGGTCTAAGTGACCCCACTTGCAGATGCTACGTTCCACAGATGTCCTCTCCAGGCCCTCAGGGGTAGGCACACGCAGGCATTGGGTGCACTGTCCTTGTTGGGGGTGGGTGGGAGTGGGCAGGGCAGACTCCATTGCCCCTCACTGGGCAGGTGGGAGTTCCGCAGCCCTGGGGACACATGGGAGCTGGACACGGGGTGACCTGCAGTGGCTTTGGGCACCGTGGTGAGTCATGAAGAAAAAGCAAGTGGAGTACAAGACAAAGTGTGATTTACCTAAGTTTCAAATGTGTGCACACGGAACAATTCAAGGTTGCAAAGACACTCAGAACTTATCGGTGGCACGTGGTGCCTTTGCGGAGGGGAAGGGGGGATCCCAGCAGAGTTGAAAAGGAGCCAAGGTGGGGACCCTGGGTGGCTCCGCTGGTGAAGACCCTGTCTTTGGCTCAGGTCATGGTCCCGGGGTCCTGGGATCAAGGCCGCGTTGGGCTCCCTGCTTCTCCCTCCCTGGCTGCTGCTCCCCCTGCTTGTGCTCTCTCTTTTTTATAAAAGGAAAAGGAAGGAAGGTGACAGAGTAGGGATGGTACGTGTAAGGGGCAAAGGCACGTCCCCAGCTCAGAAAGAAGGGGTCGTTCAGGATAGTTCAGGTCACTTAAGGTCAATTTGGGATTTCTGTACCCAGTGACTATCACTGCAAGGAGCGCCCTATCCATGTGTGTGTGTACACCTATGCACGTACCGCCCTATCCGCGTGTGTACACCTGTGCACGCGCAGGGAGCCTCTGGAAGGCAGTATGACCCTAGAGAAGGCTGGGGTCTTCCATAAATGAGCACAGAACACTGATGCCCCCGTGCGAGGACGCCGGCTCAGGCCTGCAGCCTCCGCGGCACCACGTCGTGCAGCCACCACCTCGTTCCGATTACGGAGACCCCCTCTGAACTCCCCACTTTGACGCTGCCTAGGCGGCTGTGCCCTCCCGCTCCGAACCGCCTTTCAGATCCAAGGCCGGGCCGCCGGCTCCGGAAGCCCTGGGCCGGGGCCCCCTGCGGCTCTCAGGAACCGCAGGAATCCAGCCACAGCTCCCGGGGCATCCGCAGCCCTGCCTGGTGCACGCCCACGCGTCCTCAGCAGAGGCCCCACACAAACCAAGGCTTCTCGGAACCGAGGGCGACCAATCTGTGCGCGCCCGCAAGGCTAGCCGGCCCGGGGCTCCTCCCCATCGCCGGCCCGCGAGGTCGCCGCACGCTCCGCGGGCAACTGAGGAAGCCGGAGGCGCTTTACTCCCCGAGACACACACTTCTCCCGCGCACGCGCGCCGGCAGCGCCCGGAGGAGCGGCTCTCGGGCTGTATGCAAATGAAGCTACTTCCCAGGTCTCGTCTGACTGGACAAGCTGCGGGCCCGTCGTCGCGGAGCGGCCAATGGGGCTCCCGAACGGCACGGTGCCCGCACCTCATTGGTGAGCGGTGCATACTGCGGCAGGCTCCCAGTATATAAGGCCTCCAGCCCGCGCCGGGCTCGCAGTCGTGCTGTCTTGGCGAGCGGGGAGGGAAGGTGCAAGCCGGGAAGACGGCGTGCGTCGTCCCGCCGCGCCTGTAGCTGGCCGGCATCTGTGTGGGGGCGTCCTGCCCGACAGATGTCCAGGCCCTGCTGCGGGTGGGTCTCTCGGCTCTCGTCCGTCCTTGTCCTTCCTTGTCTTTGTCCATCCGAAGTCCCCGAGCCAAGGGTGGCCAAGAAGGCCGAGGAAAACATCTACCCCCTCGCTCACTCCCTTTGTTCCCACCTTGCGTTGGAGGCTTAACAGCCAGGGGAGCCCTCAGCGGGTGGCATCTTGGTCCTTCCAGGTGCCTGTGGCCGGGAACGGCTTGGCACAAGTGATTCCCGAGGGGGCACTTACTCCAGTCTCGGGCGCGCGGCCCAGTACCGCCAGTGGGGTCGGCCGTGTGCCCGGCTGGGAGGAGATGGGCGCACGAGCGCCGGGAAAAGTAAGGCCGGAAAATGTGTGGGTTTCCAGGATGGTTCCTGGTGCACAGGGGCCACAACTGTTCTTAGCAGGACACAGAAACTGCGGGCGACCTACCTCTGGACTGCTGACCTCCAGCCCCAGTCGCACAGGTCTGAGCTCTTCCAGAATCTCCCAGTCACATGGGCCCGGTACTGACCAGTTCTGGACTAGAACAAAGTCTGAGAAGTCCATAGGTGCCTGTTAGCGGAGTTCGCTGAGAAACCTCGGCAACAGGTCACCTGCCAGCCTGCAAAAAAGCGGTTTAAAAAACAAACAAACCCCAAATAGTTGTGGGGCCTTGCTCCTGCCTCCTCCTGCGGTCTCCTGAGTCCCTTTCGCTCCGGCTGGTCTGGACCTTTCTGCACTCTGCAGGCAGATCCTGGACCCAAGACTTCCTGAAGCGTTTCTGCAGACCGGTGTGTGTCTCAGCCCCTGGACAGACGGCCCTGAACAGGGAGGGTTTCACTACTTGACTGTTTTCTTGCAGCAGTGGCTCCATTCTTGGCGTTTGTTCCCCAGCTGCCACTGGTCGGGCTTGTGCTGGATTTTGCCTTTGTGCCTCGTGGCGGTGTAATGAACTATAGTTCATTGCTGCCAGAACACTTGTGTGAGTGTTTATGCTTTGCCGAGGCACTCCGGGGTGACTCCTCCACATGTCATAGACAAGGCTGTCCGGGGGACGCGTGAAAGCGGTGGTAGTGGCA